GTAAGATACTTTCATAGTGACATTATTGTGTATCCATAATTTTACTGTGGTTGGTTGATTTTGATCCACAGTAAAATAAATACCATACAGTGGAACCCCTGATTTCATATCCGCACCGGATATCATATGATTCTGATTTTCGAGCACACTTTTTTTGACAAAATTTTTGCTCCTGGACTTTGTACCCGCGTCCAGGAATCGTCGTGTAAATCAGAACCCATTTCACCTGCCCGGATGCCGCCACTCGTGCAGTACGTGTTTCAGTCTGGCTCTGTCACAAGGTTGAGTGAGCTTCATCCAAAAATTTTGTAATATGGAACTATTTTTTTATTTTTGTGCTTGTTTATTTTTATTAATTTATTAATAATTTGAACATGATACATAGAAAGTACAAAGAAATACAGTGTTAGTGTAAATGGGCAAAAAGAGCCCCTTGTATGCAGAGGCATTAATGGGCAGGCTTAAAATATAACTTAAGATTAACTAAGCATAGATAAATTCAGTGGTAAACATTATTGTAAACTAGATAACAATTAAGCACTAATGAGTATTTCAAAGAACAGGTCATAGGTCATTTTACTGTATTGCTGTGCATTCAGTAGAATGTGAAGTACAGTGACCCCCGTTTAAAATGATTATTAATCCGTGCAAATGGGGATAATTGTTATGCGAAATAATCGTATGCGAATGAATTTTCCAACCATAAGAAAATAATGGAAATAAAATTAATATCCGTGCAGACGCCCAAAAGTAGAAAAAATTTTGTTTTTTACCACCCACATGAAATGTTAATTTTAATACACACAAACTGAAGAAAGGCATGCACAATTAACATGACACTTACTTTTTATTGAAGAACTGTTAGAAGATTGGATGGGATGGGAGAGGGGAATGCATTATCTTCTTAACTTGTTAAATGGGGTAATCCCCTGCAAATGACTTGAGGTAGTAAGTCCTTTCTGGGGTTACTTCCCTTCTTTTTCTTTTGAAAAAGCCACTAGGCCACTTCAGAGTCACTGGACTTCTTTCGCACAAGATATCTGTCCCATAGTGGCCTGAACCTTCGTTCCTTTAAGACTTGCCTAAAGTGTTTCACATCATTGTCAGTGTAATAATCACACATCACGGCTTCGCAATATCTTGTGTGAGGGTGATTTTTCATCATGAAGGTTTGCACTTCAAGCCACTTAGCACAGAATTTCCTTTATCTTGAGTAGTAGCAACGTTCTTCAATTTCTCTCTCTGCCCCTCCTCTGAACCAGTTTCCCCATGTCTGGCCTCTTGCTCTTGAATTTGATTGCTATCAGCCATCAGTGGTTAGTTCTTCATTTGTCCTCCTCCACCAACTCTTCCACATCCATCCCGAACTAACCTCCCAACCCCAAGGACTTTCCCAAGGGCCACAATGGATATCCTCAACTGGCATCAGTATTCTCAGGTTAGCCTCAAACCCCCCCTTTTTCAAAATATCCCTTTTTCTACACATTCTGGGCCACAGTTTTTCCAAAGCTGAGTTCAAGGTCCTCTTAGGTCACTTCCTCCCGAAGCCCTTACCTATAAGGTTTTACACAATTGAGGATATTAAAGTGATCACTCCAAAACTCTCTTAGCGTCAGTTGAGTTTTCAGAGGTCCTTTACAAAGCACCTATTCAAACAGAGCTTTTGTGTACAGTTTTCTTGAAGTTGGAAAAACCTGCTGGTCCAATGGGCTGCAGGAGATGTCGTGGTATAGTAGGGCAAAAACTTCACCTTATGAAGCTTCATGTCCCCATAAATTCCGCTCTGGGTCCACGTCTGAAGGATGACCAGTGGCAATGTCTAACACCAGTAGGCATCTTAAGTATCTAATTTCCTTTTCAGTTAGGTCATTTTTTCATACATTGGGGGCAAATGTGCATGGTGTAACCAGTTATAGAAAAATTTTTCCTATTGACCCATGCCTTACTGTTTGCCACTCCACAGCACACACAAAATTATCCTTGAGGACATTCTTTTGCTGTAACGCTCTGGGAGTTTTTCAGAGTGATACACTAAAAAAAGGCTTCACTTTGCAATCCACACCAGTAGCATTGAGCACACACATCAACAAAGGTAACGCTGTCTTTCACTAAGGCTTATGTACCTGGGAGTGCCTTTCCTCCTGAGTAATGTAGGTCCTGCTTGGCATTTCTTCCCAAACAGGCCTGTTATTCATCACACTAAACACTTGTACAGGTTTCAGTCCTTCAGTTTCTATGTACTCCTTGAATTCCCCTGCACATATTTTTCAGCCGCTTTGTGTGTCCGAACTGGCCAGCCTCACATGCCTTTCACTCTAATGGAGTGGAATGCCACAACGCTCTTAAATCTCTCAAACCAAAACCTTTGCAGGCCTTAAATTCACTCACAATCACACTAGTTCAGGCATTTTTTTAATTAAATCCTCAATGCAACTTCCTAAGCCTTTTCCATATGATCGCTTGAAGAGATGCTATCTCCAGCTACTAGCTGTTTTTTCAATTTAACCACACCAAAAAAGTCTATCCCGTCAACAATCTCATCACTAGCGATTTTGATTTTCGAAAACACAGTTGAACCTTTGGCAAGAACAGCTTACCTCCTTTGATTGTCTTTCTGGTGCCCACAAAATACGATGGTTTTTGATTGGGTTCTTTTTCATGTACAGCTTGACTAGGTCGCTATACGCAACTCGCACTTTTTCATACATATCAATTATCTCTTTCTTCTTTCTAAATAATTACTTAACCCTTAGAGTGTGTAGGGGTTTGGCACAAGAAGCTTTCTTGGGCCCATGGTCACTATATTCCAAAACAGCACCGAAAATACTGTAATAATAACTAAATAAATCCGAGTGAATGCTTGATGTAAACCGCGTGAGGCTGGCTGGTAACCACATCTCGCCTGGGGCCTGAGCGGCACATGTGAGGCTGGCTGAGGGCAACATTGGACGCGTCACGGGACGAAAATCGGTGATCGGGTTTTAATCGGTATGTGCGGGCAAAAAATTTGCGATAAAAGTAAACGGTAAGCGGAAAAATCCTAAGTGATGCATCGTTATGCGGGGGTCCCACTGTATTCTGTAGGTAATGTAACTAAAAATAACAAAGTATTTGATTGGGTCACAGGTTAAACATTTATGATATACAATTATCAGTGTCCCTCGCTTTTCGAAAGTTCTTGGCAATCGATTATATTTCGGAAATCATAAGGGGTATTGTTTCGTATAAACATGGCTCCGCATTTCATAGGTTGACTTGCGAGTCGTAGTTCATCGCAGGACATTACCCCATGGCGTGAGCCGGGGCGGCAGCCAGTCTGGCATTTGTTTACATCAGTGGAGCGAAGGTCCCCACATGTGCTCCAGTCGAATTATTCATAATATTCCATTTATTTTAGTGCTTGGCTAGTACTAAAAAAGCCTAACATGGGCTCCAAAGAAAGCTCCCTAGAGCCAAAGAAGTGTGTAAAGAAGGTGAGAAATACCGATTGTATTTAAGAAAAACATCATTGAACAATAATGAAAATTGGTACATCGTGCGGCCGGCCGAACTGGCCAGCGATTTTAGAAACCCTACACAACCATATGTTTCCATAGTGGCCCAAGAAAAGAAAACAAGGGATGCTGTTGTTGTGCAAAGGGGGCAAACTATGCCCCCGCTGACAAAAAAGAGATCACCAGTACTCTTCGAATAGGTTGAGATTATTATTGGTGTGGTGATAAATGAGAAACAATTAGCAGGAGATACGTTCTTAGACTTGATTTTTTGAAAATGCTAGGCAGTAGCATGACGATTTGGTAAAGATATTGCCTGAAAATAGTGGTGAATGTGAGCGAATTTTAAGGCCAGCCAAGGCTGGTTTTGAGGAGAATTTAAGAACCGTACTGGCATACAATTGTGGTAAAGGCATGGTGAGGGCTTGCCCGTTCAGACCACAAGGCGGCTGAAAACAAATATGTGCATGGAATTCCCATGAGACATAGAGGCTGAAGGACTGAAACTGAACCAGTGTCAGGTTGTTGATGAAACAGACCTCTTTGGAAAAAATGCCAAGAGGACCTTCATTACACAGGAGGAAAAGGCAATGTCAGGACACAAATGCTATGAAAGACAGGCTGTGAACGATAATGTATCCTGTGCTAATGCTAGTGGGGATTTCAAAGTGAAAGCCATTACTAGTGTACCATTCTGAAAATCCAGAAGTGTTCCGGAAAAACAATGTTAATAAAGAGTAAAAATGTGGTGTGTTTTTGGAAATCTAAATAGTAAGAGGCATTGGGTCACGATGGAAATTTTCGTCGATGGTTCAATGAAGTGTATGCCCTATTGTGAAGAAACTACCTCCTGGAAAATAAATTTGGATCTCTCAGTCCTGCTAGTAATGGACAATGCACTACTGCTCTAGTCCATCCAAACTTGGAATGCCGCTAAATTTTCGAGTAGTTTTGGTACATCAACCGTAAAGTTCTTGCCCCGATACCACTTTCCCTCTCCTCCAGGGCCCAGGACCACAGGTCCATTGCAAACTTAATAAAGCTCTATAAACCAAACAGTGTATTCACCAGGTGCCTTGACTGTGAACATAGAACACTCACATTGACCCTAAGGAATTTTGGAGAGAACAACTTCAGCATCCGTCCATCCCTAATAAGTATGTTGCTTTGGGATTGGAGTGACTACCAGGACTTTGAACCTGCCTGGAGAATAATTGGTGGCCGATTGTGTTGAAAGAGGGATTTTGAAAGGGTTATAGTACAGTACCCTGATGAGCCTATGTCTGTTGTAAAATTCAATTGTGTGCACTGGGAAGTCCATGAGGTTGGATGTAGAGTTTGAGATGTGGAAGAATTGTGGAAGACCTCAGAGAAGAGGCTCCCACTGGGAGCTGTGCATAGATGCATCAGCAGGAACAGCAACAGATCTGCAGCTCAGAATCTAGCTGCAGAGGAAGGAGGAAGAGAGATGTGAAGATGGTGTCCTGTTCTTCAGAAATTAGAGAG